CAGCAGGAGGAGAGAGTGGTCCGTTGGGGCAACAGCGGTAGCGGTATGTCTGTGAGACACTGATTAATGTAATTTGCTTACAAAATTTGGTAAAGCAAGCGTTTTTTTAAACCAGTTGCATCCTTAATAAAAGTCTGAATTTAGCCTAAAAGCAGAGGTTTCACTCTTCTAACCCGTGGTCTTAGTAACAGGCAGGTGAAAATAACTAGGCTAGTTCTAGAAACTGTTCAATGTTGTAGGAACCATTTTGGGGCGGTGATGTTTTTCTTTTTTAAGAATGCAATGCACTAAAACTCTTTTAAGAATGTAGTTAATACTGCTTATTCATAAAAACAGCGTATACCTGTGTTTAGATGTAAGATCCCAGCTCTGGCTTTTTTTTCTTTCTTTTTTTTTTTAATTAAGTCAGTTTTATTTTATGAGTAAGTTCTGACATTTGTAATAAATGTCTTGAGAGTAATAATTTGTTTAATGGCTACACGTTCATTACTTGAGCAACCTTGAGTGTATAATAATCTGTTGGTGTTGTAATAATGCACAGTGTCACGATTCAGCCGTTTTCCTTTTCGTTTTCACTTTGTTTTGAATTCCTGTAGTGGGGTACTTTGTTGACAGCTGCCTTAAGCTGTTCATTCAGTGAACAGGCTCTCAGTGTTTCATGGGCTTTGTCTTCTGCTGCGGCATGACAGGTAGGGCTTTTTAAACTTGTGCTCTCCGATTCAGCCAAGCCGATGACTCGAGCGACGGGTCACGCCATCAGTTCAGAGCCAGGAGCACCGAGTGTGCAAAGCTCAGACTCGACAGACCCTTCTTTTGGTGTCAAATCTGACTGCTGTAAATCCTTCAACCCCAATCAGCGTTGCTGCTGAAGACTCTCCTTCGAACACCGTAGACAGTTGAAAAGCGAGCGGTAAACGCGTACCGCCAGCGCACGCGCATGCACACACCCCCTCACGTGGAGGAATGCCTAGAACTATTTTTTTTTTTTTTTTTTTTTATGTGTATGACTTTTGGATAGCGTTGAAGGTGAAGGATGTGTTCTTTTCAGGCCCGGTGTGGTCAGCCAGAAGAACGATCAACCTTTTGTACTCTGATGAACTGAAAGGGGACTCGGGAACGCAGCGTGGTGTAGACGTGGGCGTAATCGCACAGCTGCCCTGTAGTGTAGTTTGCCGAAGCTGATTCGACTGAATGTCAGTCTGCGTGATTTAAATCTTCCAGCGCTATGTGGTCAAAAATTAATCTAGTCCTTGAAAGCCGATGCTGTTCACCTAGAGGAAGATGCTCCAGTACTGTAGGGATGCCCAGGTCGTGGATACATGCTGTTGAAGTCTTGAGGCTCCGGAGGGGGAGGGGGGGAAATCTCCTTCCTGCGATGGGGCTGCCTGCCTGGCAGCTTCTGCCTCCGCGGAAGAGCCAACGCGACAAGGTAAAAACAGTATTACAAAACCACTACGCATACCACCATGGAACTCTTCAAACAGTGCTTTCGTAAGCAAAGAAGAAAAGAAAAGCTCCTAGGTTTAGTTTTAAGCTTTAATAAGTAATAATTTTCTGTATCTTTAAGTCAAAGTAACCCTAACTTGTATGACTGCAGTGTTTTTATTTTTTATCTTATGCACATGTTATGTTGGAGAAAATGTTTACAAAAATGGTTTTGTTACACTAATGTGCATCACATATTTATGGTTTATTTGAAAGTGATTTTTGTGGGTTTTTTTAGTTTTTCATGGTAATAGTAGTACACTTTTTGTGATTTATAACCCCAAACTGCTGATTATAAAGATGCTAAACAATAATACGAAATGACAAACTGCATTAAAATTACTAATCGTAGAGCTGCAAAGCAGACTGGTGACAAGTAAAACACTCAGCCTTTTTTTTGCAGTGCTATCTAACTTGTCTTCTGTGTATTATGGAAATTACTGTTTTTTCCCCGTTTTTCCTTAAATAAAGTCAAATTGACACCTATTGTATGTGGAAAGTATTCTATCTACTGGCTGCAGAAATCAAGCTGCGTGTTACCTAGTTGCATGTATTACGATACAAAAGCCTTATTGTCAAATCTCATCATTTTAGAGACTTTGACAATAAACATGGGCTTTTGAGGGCTTTTTTGTTGCTGCTCTGTTTTTATTTTTTTTTCTTCCTTAAAGCCCTATCTCCTGGTGCGGTTGCTCTTTTGAGAATTACAGTTTTCTTTTAAAAAGTGAAAAGTGAGAAACTCGGAAACATCAGCGAGTGTTCGGCAAGGAGTTGCGCAACGGAGAGCCTGGGTGCGTTGTGAACGTGCCCTCCCACCACACTGCGTTCAGGCCTGGGGGTTTTGCAAGCTGGCATTGCTTGCTGCCGGGAGAGCACAATGACCAGGAAGCCTGAGCCAGATCCTCACGTGGCGTAAAAGCACGGCTCCAAAAAACTCAGGCTTTCCGAGCCGTAAGCCGGGAGTACTGAGCAGGTCTGATGCAAAGCCGCTCTTTGTGCCTCTGGGGTTCTTGCATGACCTTTGCCTGTGTTTTCCCACCATGGGATGTGTCTGTTTTCTGTAGTGGAGATAAGCAGGAGACGTTTCCTTCCAACTCGGCTGGGCTCTGCGAGAGGAGGAGGAAGTCTGTGTTGCCGGGCTCCTGCCTTTCCTCGCACGTCCGTCTGCAGAAGGGAAGGGATGTGCTGTAAGCCAAAAAACGTTTCAGGGTCTCACTTGCTTCCTGTGGACAAAGGTATCCGAAATCCTCGAGCCCTTCAGCTTTTCTGCTGCTGCAAGTGGAGATGCTGACTGAGCTTAAAAACCCAGCAGGACCAGCCAGCTGCTGGCCAGGCTCCTGCCGGCTCCGCTCCAGTTGCTGCTCCGGAGCTGCTGGTTTCCTGCAGTCGTTCCTGACCTGTTGGAGACTTCCCCATGTCAGACATTCAGGCCGACCACCCTAGCTAGCCGTGAGGACAGCTACGAGCTGTTGGTTGTGACGGTATGCGGTAAGTCACCAAGAGCAGCAACCCCAGGTGTGAGCTTCACTGGCGCTGGCAGAGGCGACAGAGAACATGCAGAACCTTCACACCCCTGTGAAGAAAGACACAACTGCAGTGATTTACCGAAGGAAATGAAAAATTAGAGCATTGGAAACTGAGCAGCAGATCTCATTCCTCTATGGGACTTGTATAGGTAGCAGTGGTGATGGAGGCCCAGATTTGTGCCTTGTGAAGGGAGGAGGGGTGTACACAGAACGGAAAAGAACAAACTCCACAGCGAAAGAATGCGCGCCTTTTAACAACTGCAGTAGGCAAACCAGACAAAGAACTAATCAAATGTTAAAAGAAGCATTTGAAAAAAAAATTTTTTTGCAAACCTTCTAGATAAGTGAGTTAGATATTAGTAATAAAAAGTAAAGAACACTTCACCATGAGATCAAAGTTTAAAACCTGCAAATTGAGAAAAGAGAAAAGAGACAGCCCTGTTCAGGGGGTTGCCTTGCTGAAAGACACATGCCAGAGTATTAGGATTGTATAGGACAATCAGGACTGTATATGAAGAGGGAAAATCTAGTTTTATGGGTTGCTGCTTTCTGTGCAGGGCGCTTGTTAGTTCAGCTTATATCTGTTCTGTGACGAAGACTGTAATATTGCAAAAAAGAGATGGAAGTTGCTGGAGAAACAGCTTCAGACTCTTTTCAGTGGTGCCCAGCGACAGGACAAGGGGCAATGGGCACAAACTGAAGCACAGGAAGTTCCATCTGAACATGAGGAAGAACTTCTTCCCTCTGAGGGTGACGGAGCACTGGAACAGGCTGCCCGGGCAGGTTGTGGAGTCTCCCTCTCTGGAGATATTCAAGACCCGCCTGGACAAGGTCCTGTGCAGCCTGCTCTGGGTGACCCTGCTTCGGCAGGAGGGTTGGACTAGATGACCCACAGAGGTCCCTTCCAACCTCGAACATTCTATGATTCTGTAAATGCAAGAAAAGAGCCTGTGGTGGAGAGGGGACTCGGCACTGTGTGGTGCACAGGGCTGTGCTGTACCAGAGTGGTCCAAGGCAACAAATTTGCTGGTAGTAACGTGAATGCATTTCCACCTCACTGTCTGGTGGGCTGTTACCCGCCTGACTGTGAGCTGCAGCATCTCAGCCCGAAGGGGTTTCTCTCTCTCTCCAACGTCACTAAAGAAAAACCAGCACTGAGTTGTGCCATGTTGCTTGCACAGTATTGTGTAAGCACTTGTCACGGCAGGTCTGGTTTGCTTGCTGCCAGCTCTTACTTCACACTTAGATCCCAGGCAGTCCTGGGAACTGAACGGGGAGAAGACTTGCTTTGCCGCATGAGGAGTGTGCCTGATGGCCAGGATTTCAGCTGCTGATGAGGGGTGTCCCTTGCCTGCCGGGCTATTTTGGTGCACGTAGAGGGTGCAAGTTCGAAGGGAGGTGTGCGCCCAGCAGTTGTAAAAAGGTTGCCTGCAGCTCTCTTCCCGTACACGCAGAATCACTGCTGAGCTCCAGTACCCGGATTTTGTCCCATTTCCAACCCATTCAAGCCAGGAAGGCTGGTAACAGCTGTCTGCTTTTGACTTCACCTCCTTTTTTAAAATTGTCATTGCGGCGTTGGCGCTGCGCGGGGAGGTGTGGAAATGCAGGGTGAGGTGCCAGTATTGCCATGTGGAGAGGTTGCTGGTTGGGGGAGTTACAGGAGAACACCGGGTAATCACAGTTGCTCCATGATCGTGTGGCTCGTTGCAGCAGATCCTCTGATAGAGGGTGAAAACTCTGCTGCAGAAATACTGACCATCTCACTCCTTCTTATCTCTCTGGTTTGTCCCACTCTTGTTCTAAACAATAATAAACTAAGGAGGGAGGAAGGTGTTTTGTTGCTTAAGAAAATAAATCCCTGAGTCAACAGAGGTATGCCCATTCCAGCTGAGGAAATGATAAGGTTTTTGCTTGTCAAATTGTAGCAGGAAAATCATGTTTCATTCTCAGACTCTTGTGGTTCTGTGGGATAAATGTGTGGCATGGGAAAGTCAGATTAATTTGTTCCAACTGCTGTACACAGCTCAAATTTTACTTGCCCTCTGTGAGAAATTTTTATTGCACAACCTCGTATTTGTCATTCAGCGTAATTTGTCCATTAAACGGCATTACCACACTTCCATTTTATTTTAATACTTGCATCTCCTAAGCAATTTTGCCCACGCCATGTTAGCCATGGAAAAAATGCTTTTCTGGCTGTGGAACAACTGTTGATGTGAAGGGATTGTAAAATACTGTTTCCCCTCGGCTCTTGTCACAGGAACAGTACAGACAGTTTTCCGTGGAGTCCCATTGGTGTAGTTAGCGAGACTCTGGTCTTACAAACAGGCAAAGCTGAAAGACAAAGGAGAGTAAATGATGTGTTTGGGAGCTGTTGGTGAGTCAGAGAGATAGGAAGAAAACAATGGGCTTAGGTTTTCTAGTCTTTCACCTCAACCGTTAAACTATCTTAGCCCCTGGGGGTGCCAGTGTCTCCCTTGGGGTTTGATGAAGGCGATAGGGTGTAACCCACACGGTTGCTTTCCTGGGCCAAATATTCATATTTACTAACCTTTGGCAATTCAGATACAAAGCCGTCAGCAAGGCTAGACTGCGAGAAAGTGAAGCATAGAGGGAATTCATCACCTTTTCCTGTTCTGTTTTGTTGCAATGATTTTCCCAAATTTTTTAGCGGTGCTAAGCATACATGCGCATGTAGAAAGCACAGAGACAACACAGAGCATGCTGGCTTGCAACAAGCAGCAGTCCTGGCTCTTGGCAACCCTGTGTCTCCTACTGGTGGTGCCACGAGGCAGAAAGTGAACATGGATCCTCTTAGAAGAGCCTTGCCAAGAGCCTTGTCAACCCCGCTGCAGGCTTAAGCATTAGTTTAACTTCAAACATAAGATAGACATAATCTAACCTCCTTTCTCCCAAGCACTTAGTCATGTCCTAACCTCCACCGAATGAGTAAATGTAGTCCCAACCCCGAGCTCCTAGCGATGGATCCTACCATGGTGCAGGCTACGTGGAGCAGCTGGCAGAGCCAGACTTGTGTGTATGTACAGAAGCTGTGGCCTAAGAACTGGCTCTCTGGGCTTCGTTAGTTCCTAAACCTACCCCGATCAAATCACAAGAACTTCTGGAAAATTCATATGGAAATTTTCCTCGATGTTTCGGTAATAAAATTAACTGAAAGATAAAAAGAGAGCACAAACTGGCATAGAATGTTAAAATGCAAAGTATGTAATTATAGACTCACAGCTGTAATGACTCTAATGGATATCAGAGACAAGTATAAAAGGAGAATAAATTATTTCAGGGCATAGAGAATCAGTTATGGGTAATTATGCTGCAATTATTGTTGCTGTGCTCCTATGATAGGTTTTTTTAAAACTAATTTTTCTAAAATGGAATAATGTGAGTTAAGCATGAATTCATCTATTATCTGCCATTCAGATAAAAACATTTTTCTAGTGCTTTTCAAAATGTGCCAGTGGGACCCATCTCAGTTTTACACCAGTGAAAACACCAGGGATTTTTACGAAGCGATTTATTTCATGTCACACAGCTGTTCAGTGGCATCGTTTAACCTCATGTTCAGTAAAGTGCATAAACTCATGCCTACGGCCAATCATGTAAGCCAGCAACCGGGTTCAACGGAGTTCTTCACATGCTAAAGATGAATTGGAAAACTGGCGATCCAGGCCTCTAATTCAGAGCAAAGATGCCACAGCTTAGAGCAGCCAACAGCATTCTTGGTTCTGGAAATCAGCAGCTGAAAAGTTTCGGCTTACAATATTGAGACAAACGGTCAATGATGACACCTTGCGTTACAAGGGCCCTTGTAAAATGTGTTAGGTGAGCCGCTGATCCATGAGCAGACATGGTGTGTGAAGGACCAGTAGTTCTGCTCATGAAGTGGTGGCGGTGTCACAAATGATGAGCCCGAAAGACCCCCGTGTCTCCATCTCAAGACACTGAAGACTTTGAAGCTGGAGAGTAACAACTCATTGGTACCAACGTACAAACTCCAAAGTGACAACACAACATTTAGACAGAGGTTAACTTTGCCTGTATTGCGTGGTAACCCGCACAAAGGAGGAAGAAAATGAATTCTAGGTTCACTCCTAGCGCTATCTCTCTACGGATGACCCAAGGTAGCTAGGGGTATTTGCAGAGGGATTGCTCCGAGTCCCTAAAACCTGGATGCCCTTTGATATCCTGGCTGGCCACAGAAGTGTTGGGGTTCCCAGGACAGTGGGGGTGTCTCATATACTTTGGACCTCTGGAAGGGAACCATGTGCTTGGGTTTAGGAACTAAATTCCATCAGAGGTTTTAACACATTAGTCATCACACTGAACTCCTCAGTGCAGGGCTTGTCATCCGTTGTGTGTGTTTGTGTACTGCCTTGCGCAACTCAACCAGTTGATGCTGTAATACAAACCTTTACAAAAAGGATTAAAAAAAAAATGCTGAAAAATTGGAAAATACCAGGGTTTAATGTTCCTAACTTAAAATTAACCCAGACACCTCTTGCAACTGCTCAGCATTCAGTTGCATTTATAGACTTATCTTGAAGCGCCGTGCTCGCTCTACAACAGATGGTCCTCATGGGAGGGAGGTGTGTTCAAAAACCCTCTTTATCCTCATTAATTAGTTTGGAGCCTTATGTATATCTTACTTGGTGTCATCCAAAGTGCTCGTCTTCTCATAAATTATATCAACTTAGTATCATTCACAAATACTAATGAACTTCTCTACATTCCTGTAAAGTGAGGGAGGGTTATCATTGGAGGCATTTTTTTTTCTGTTATGCTAACTTGAAATAAGGAACAAAAGGTTGGATTTTGTTATGGAATGGAACTTAAAAAGTATTTTTCTTCAGAAAAGTCAAAGTGAAATGTAGTAGTATTTGGTCAAAATTAATTTCTTCACTTCTAATAACTGTAGTATTTTACTTGCTGTAATTAACCACCAGG